AGGGCGGCACGTGGCGATCGTGCGCAGACTCCAAAGCGTGTGTAGCCGACCTCCCTACTTGTGTCAAAGAAGGAAGGTCGCTGACCACAAATGCTTCATCTTTTTATAGAATGCAGGTAACGCGTGACTCTTGTTTGAATTTAATGGAATTTGCTTTTCAAGTTCAGTCACAATCCGTTGTGCCCCAAGGACCATAATCATACGATTAGTAGCTGGCTGGTCAGAAGAGTGAAACCATACGATTTCAAATGATGTTACAGTATAGCCTCAGGAGTGGAAGAAAATTAAATGGAGCGATTCCTGGAAAAGTGCAACGGGTAAGAGATTGAAGGAAAAACATAGAAAACGTTGAGTTGTCAAGTTGTCATAGCCACTGAAAACATTATGTATGTAGTTTAAATTTAAAGAGGCAGAGGCGGGATCCTCTTTAAAACCTTGGAGTGATAGGCATGTGTTTTATTCACAGTGGATCCTGACAGTTTAGGCTAAGGAGATGGTTCCTGATGGGGTCTGGCCGGTTGGCACTACTCTGTGTATTACACGTCAGTGTGCCGTGTGCTAGGAGGGGTAGTAAGTTCCGGTCTCCACAGGGAGGGAACAGAAGCTCTGAATTTGGGATTCTCCCAGACCTCTCCCTGTGCCCCTCGTCTTTCCCTTTGGCTGGTTGGTTTTTGTTTTTTGCCCCACAGGACTTGGAGGATCTCAGTTCTCTGACCAGGGATGGAACCCAGGCCCTTGACAGTGAACGCACTGAGTCCTAACCACTGGACCGCCAAGGAAGTCCCTGGCTGGGTTGTTTCTATTTTTGGCTGTGTTGGGTCTTCGTTGCTGTGCGCAGGCTTTCTCTAGTTGCGGTGAGTGGGCTTCTCACTGCGGTGGCTTCTCTTGTTGGGGAGCACGGGCTCTAGGCGTGCGGGCTTCAGTAGTTGTGGCTCGGGGGCTCGAGTGCAGGCTCAGTAGTTGTGGCACGGCGGGCTCAGTAGTTGTGGCACACGGGCTTCGTTGCTCCGCAGCACGTGGGATCTTCCCGAACCAGGACTCGAACCGTGTTCCCTGCATTGGCAGGCGGATTCTTAACCGCTGCGCCACCCGGGAAGCCCCCTGGCTGGTTTTGATTTATATCCTTTTGCTACAATAAAACTGTAATCATACGTATGTTCTTGAGTTCTGAGTCCTTGCAGTGAGTTATTGAACCTGAGAGGGTAGTAGGAACCTCCAAATTAGTAGCTGGCTGGTCAGAAGAGTGGCCTGGAGACACCACCCCTCCCCCACATCTGTGACTGGTGCATGAGGGCAGTCTTGTAGGGGACTGTCCACTTAACCTATTTAGTTTGGCTCAACTCTGTGGTAGTTGGTGTCATTAGTTATTGCAAGGGTACCTATGGAAACATTTAACTGGAGCTCCTAACCTAGTCCAAAAGCCTACGAAAGCCCTTCTGCCTGGACCTGAGACCCTATAAAAGACTGGAAATTAGATCAAAGGTACATGTGCATTGACAGGACTGCAGTGGGGTGTGAAGGGGCATATGCACCAAAGCAAAGCAAATGATTGAGATCAGAGGATTGCACACAACAGGAAAAAAAAGCTTTTCCTTATGTCCTGCACACATACAGATTCTTCCTATCCCAAAAAGTGTACCTCAACTGATACAGGTAGGTCCTGAGCCTCAGGGGTGTTGGGACAGAAGACTCACAAGGCCACACAGGTGACATGAGGCCTCTTGGAAATCTGAGACTGTGTCCATTAGATTATGACTCTGAACAAAGAACATGCTGTTCTTCTGTATCCCTGTGTTGTACAGAGTAAATACCATGTAAATGGGAGGTCACTGCTATGAGTCCAATAAACCAGGCACCACATTTATACAAAGCACAGTTAGTGCAACACCCGTGCCTTGGAATCTCTCAACCACACTACAGTTTTTAATACTTCTTTTTTTTTACATTTGTAACATACCTATAAGCATAGAATCCTGAAACAGAAACAGCCTGGAAATCCCTGAGGCATGTTGCTTGTGAGTGGAATCATTAATCGGTTGTGGAATGACCTTAGTGGACCATCACCAGTGTTTTAAATAAAATAGGATAGGGGCTTCCCTGGTGGAGCAGTGGTTGAGAGTCCGCCTGCCGATGCAGGGGACGCAGGTTCGTGCCCCGGTTCGGGAAGATCTCACGTGCCGCGGAGCGGCTGGGCCCGTGAGCCATGGCCGCTGAGCCTGCGCGTCCGGAGCCTGTGCTCCGCAACGGGAGAGGCCACAGCGGTGAGAGGCCCGCGTACCGCAAAAAAAAAAAAAAAAAAGGATAAAAAATATCAGATGGCAACATGTGTAGTAAGGACCGGCACTGTCTCGTGAACTTGTGTGTCAGTTAAATATGCCAATGTTTGTACTGATCACAGGGTAAAACTAAAGCTACTGCAGATCACAGTCAAAAAGGAGGGAAACCACTGATCTAGTCCAAGCCCCTTATTTCACCAATCAGGATATTTAGATAAAGAGGTTGAGAGGCTTGTCCAAGGTCATGCATGCACAGCCAGAGAGATGGGTCAAGAATCAGATGTCCTTACACCCCACTCCAGGGCTCTTTACATGAAAACCTAAAGACCAACACTCTATGTTAAGGACACTAAAATTATATCTATTTATATACACTAAAAAGCATATAAATAAAATATACACTATAAAGAAAATACACGATGAAATTATAGTCTATAGAGATAGTCTATGTAGTCTACAGATAAAGCATCTTTATATAAATTTAACTGGAAATATATGAAAAAACGTTCAAGAGCTATCAAGTGACAAGTATTTACTGAACCCTACTTATGAAAAACAAGATTCTAAGCACCGTAGAAGATACCAAGCATAAAATATCCAGTCCTTGGATACAGGAAAATGGAGCTCTTTCTGCTTTCCACAGAGCTACATATTAAAGATCCATTAGGTTTTCCCTGTGCTACGCCCAAAAGACAGGATTTTCAAAATAATCACCAATAACTCAGTGTCCCCCAGTTCTCTTACTTAAGTAATAAGATGCGTGTGTAACAGATCTGCCTACCTCAGATCAGGCCCCTGGTTTACCGCCACTCGTCCCTCCTGGATACAGGCCCAGCTCAGCAAGGTTTGTGGGAGGGGGCACCGGCTATATACCACGAGGTTAAGTCCCAAGGAAATGGAGGGGTATTCCTTCTCTTTGTTGAACTTTATACCTTGTGACTTCATTACCATACTTTTTCAGCAAATGTTTCCTTTAAACACGATTTTTTTTTTTTGCGGTACGCGGGCCTCTCACTGTTGTGGCCTCTCCCGTTGCGGAGCATGGGCTCCGGACGCACAGGTTCAGCGGCCGTGGCTCACGGGCCCAGCCGCTCCGCGGCATGTGGGATCTTCCCGGACCAGGGCACGAACCCGCGTCCCCTGCATCGGCAGGCGGACTCTCAACCACTGCGCCACCAGGGAAGCCCTAAACACGATTTTTTAAAAATATTGTTTCATTCTACTGAGTGATGTTAAGAATCACAAGTTTTGGGTTTCCCTGGTGGCGCCAGTGGTTAAGAATCCACCTGCCAATTCAAGGGACACGGATTTGAGCCCTGGTCCAGGAAGATCCCACATGCTGCAGAGCAACTAAGCCCGTGCCCCACAACTACTGAGCCTGCTCTCTAGAGCCCACAAGCCACAACTACTGAAGCCCATGTGCCATAACTATTGAGCCTGCGCTCTAGAGCCCACGAGCCACAACTACTGAAGCCCATGTGCCATAACTACTGAGCCTGCGCTCTAGAGCCCACGAGCCACAACTACTGAAGCCCGTGTGCCATAACTACTGAGCCTGCGCTCTAGAGCCCACGAGCCACAACTACTGAAGCCCGTGTGCCATAACTACTGAGCCTGTGCTCTAGAGCCTGCAAGCCACAACTACTGAAGCCTGCACGCCTAGAGCCCGTGCTCCGCAACAAGAGAAGCCACTGCAGTGAGAAGCCCGCACATCACAAGAGTAGCCCCTGCTCGCCGCAACTAGAGAAATCCCGTGCACAGCAATGAAGACCCAATGCAGCCAAAATTAATAAATAAAAATAAATAAATTTATATTAAAAAAAGAAGAGTCACAAGTTTTCCTGGGAGAATATTTTTCAAATTAAAAATAAAAGTAAAAATCTGCTTTATAGCCAATTTACCAAGAACTTTAATAACCAGTCTAATCACCAATTAAGAATAAAAAATCAGAGCAACAGTTGATACAGAATCCCTGTTGGTTAGTTATTAGGTTGATGAAATAAAATTAAAACCCAGAACTCCACTTATCCTAAGTGCAAGAGGAAGAAAGAAAAATGAGTGGCTATTATATACCAAACCTCAAAACTTTACTTCTTAGAGGTTATGATTTGACCTTAGATCAATCAGTATTCCCACTTTAATTATTTACTTTGTCTAGATACAATCAGTATTAAGGTTACTTCACTTTCTTTAAATTTACTCACTTTTAAATTTAGTCTCATCCCAAGTAATTCTTAAAATAACTCTGTGAAGTGTTAATTATTTCCAACATATGGTAAAATAATACATAACCACTAAAATTCTAAATGTTCACCCTACATCTAAAATCATCTCTCATACCATCAGCAGTATTAACATGGTGACTGATCTGCCTACACCTTGAAACAAATGATTCAAAGGTACTATTGCAATGTGAATAACTGAAAAAGTGTCCATGTTTCACAATATGTAAAAAAAATCCTGAAATTCAATACATGGATTTACCACAATTTTATTACCAGAAGTCAGTGGGGAAAACAAAGAAAAGGCTTCGGATAGCTACTTCTGTTTTTTCTGTTTCTTAGTTCGTCCACTTTTCTTCTGTCCTTTCTTTCTCTTCTTCATGAGAACAGCTTTTTCTCCGATAAACAAAGTTTTAGAATGTTGTGCATTTTTTGAAGAAAAATTAGGTCCCTGCTTAGGTTTACTGACATTCTTCAAACTAGGATTTGAATTTTGTTTTAATTTTTCTTTATGGACAGAACGCATGACTCTGAGTTTTCTTCCCATCAGTTCAGAGTTATTTAATTTCAGAGCAAGATGAACAGCATCTGTATTCTGCAATAAAAATCAAAATACTAAATTTTCACCAGAAACTCATGTGCAAAGAAACAAGTAAAATGGTGACTTTTCTGGATTAGAACAACTTTCAAGCTTGCATATAGAAACCCCTCTCATTTCCACAGCCAAGAAGTCCAATCCAAAGTACTGAACTACAAGCAGCTGTTCTTGTAGTTTTAATCATGCTCCCTCTCATGAGTTTCTCCCCAGGAAGCACTCAAGCTGCCCTGTCAAATAATCAGATAAGTCACAATCCAAGAGGCTTCATTTTTCTCAATGTAAATTCAATTAACAAGGTCAGTCCTATAGTGTCTTTTAAACCAATAAGCCTCCTCTTCACAAGGCTCTTCCTGAAAAAACCCTGCTGTATTAGTTGATTTGAGAGCAGAGAACTCTCTATTACAGTCCTTGAGATGGATCAGTCAGACTAGATGCCTTGTAGGGTTCCCTTTAGGCCCAAAATTCTATTATTCTTTTATTCTAATAGAGAGCCACTAAATGCTAACCACCCTGAATATTCATGACATGTCTGTTAAAGGACTTTACAAACTTATCAATAGTCAGAAGACAGAGCAGAGAAACAGTGAGATAACTACATCACAGTCATGATGGCAGGCTGTGACCACGTTTCTTCAAAGCCGCTGGTCATACGTACTAAGAGCCTTAAAGATGGTCAGATGTCTTGACCCGGTTAGTGGTAACCCATTGGGGAGCTTTCCTAAAGAAGTAATCCAAAAATGGAGGCAAACATTTGAAGGAAAAAACATAACCACTCTGATCTCATTATTACAGAGAAAAAGAGAGAACACTGCAAACATGCAACATTTGGCACACACTAGGGAAGACAGTATACACGCTCAGTGGAACATACTTACACGACAGAAAACAACATAAAGCAGCTTGCAGAATCTTATGTTCACAAATATTAAGTTTGACCATAAAAAAGGAGGCGCAGATAAAAAAAGGAAGTACATGGATGGGCTGTTGTGAAGGGAAGGCCACACGTGTATTCTAATAATTTTAGGCATGAGACACTGGCTAATATTTAGTGAACTAAATATAACCAATTTTGTACAGAGACTAACGTTCTCTTCTACCTGAGTGAACGATCAGTTCTTCTCTCCATTTTACAGAAGGTGGAGATTCAGAGATTTAATACCTTTAGTATCCAGTATCTAAAACATTATTTAACAACATTAATGTGGAGAAATAACTAGAACATCTCCTGGTTGGATGCAATTATACGAACAGGAGTCTATTATACTGTGGTGGGTTATGAATGTAGTTTTCTTAAGGTGGAATTTTGAGGATGACAGTGAGAGTTACGTCTGAAGGATGGGGCAGCAGTGACAGCCTCTCCAGGCACACTTCAAGGACAGTAAGGATACATCAGCCTCCCTACCTCAAAGAGCACGTAGCCAAAGCCTCTGCTGGCTCCTGTAACTTGATCCCGCACGATCCTTACAGCCACAGTGTTCCCACAGTCCAGAAAGTGTTTCTCAACCGCAGATTCTTCAGCTTCTAAAAACAGATTCAACCCCAGTGGAAGTGAGGGCTTGGAATCGCCTTAGGAAGCTGGAGATGTTTCATAATACACCAAGGGTAAGCACAGCCTCAAGGTAACCAGTCAAGTTACACCCCGCGCTTCTTAAAGGTAGTCTTAAAGCGAAACATTATGTTACCAACTCAGATGTTATTTGCATTACTTCAGTGATAAACAGGTACTTTATTTGTTTAAACAAACTTACTGTATGGGAGATTCCCCACAAATACAGATCTCTTGTCCCTCTGAAACACAAAGAGGGTTAATAAAAATCATTCATGGAGCAGAAAACAGAAGTCACCCTAAAGTCCACCCTTGTCCTCACCCCACACACCTGACGGGGCTCCATCTCCTGATTTCCCTGCCCTCCGGGCCCGTTTGATTCCCTTTCTTCCGCCTTCCCCGCTGGAGTGTGAGCGAGCCCCAGAGCGGGGAGTGCTTCTGTTCACAGCTGGCACTGACCCACGGCAGTGCTCAAGGAAGGCCTGCTCTATTGGGGGTGGGCAAACTTTTTCTGGAAAGGGCCAGAAAGCAAATATTTTAGGCTTTGTGGGCCACGTGGTCTCTGCTGTACCTACCTGCCTGGTTGGGTGACAGTAAAACTTTATTAACAGAAACGGGCCGCAAACAGATTGGGCCCTCAAGCCAGTTTGCGGACCCCGTGCCAGGTCCACAATCAAAGCCAGGGCTGTCAGCCAGGCCTCTGTCATTTCTCAACTAGTCACCCTGACGCCGACCGTAACGCACTCTGTTTCTGCGGTGAGTTCTTGCAACTCACGCTTCATCCGTTTCAAGAGACCTTGAGGAACAGCTTTGGACAAAACCCAGACTCCTCCCCATGTTAGGCCAGGGTCTTCATGATTGGCCTCCACCTATTTCTCCAACAGCTACTCTTATCCCGCCCCTCCTCACACGCCAGCCACTACTAACTGCATCAGGCTCTGCCATTCCCTCAGCAAATTAGGTTTTGGTCCCCACCATTCATACTGTTCAAAATTTTTTTGCCTGGATAACAGACTCGTCTTGCAAGACTGATAGAACACCTGTTCTCCTGGAAACCCTCCTTTGTCCCTTCTTGCTGGCAACCCCCCAAATCAAGTGCTCCATTCCTGAGCTGACAAAGCATCCTGGGCATTTATGACAGTATTTATCATAAAATCGTCTGCTCATCTTTACCTTTATCCTGTGAACTCCTAGAGAACTGAGTCTGTATCTCAGCACTGAATGCCTGACACAGAGGACGGACTCAAAAACTGTTTAATGACTGATTTAACTTTAGACCTCAGTCTATAAAATAAGGTGCTGGCCCCGATGCTCTCTAACGTAACTTCTGGCCTCTCTCTTTAGGACTACTGGATCTAACGTATGGGTGGGAACCACTTTCTTGAAGCTGATGCTGACTTAGAGGGCATTAGCTGAGACCACAGAGGGCAAAGGCTGTCTCCTCTGTGCTTCCCGCATGCTCCCTGCTGACCCCACTGCTCTCCCAGCACAAGCTCAGAAGAACTACTCACAGATGAGGTCTCAGATGCAAGATCCACTCTAACACGAAATCCATCTGCAATTTGGGCCCCATTTCTGGTATAAATACGAAGGGAAAATTGTTGTTAAAAACAAGTGCTGAGTTACTGGGATATTTGCTCTGAAGTGAAACCAAAGAATAAAGCATGGACTCATACACACTTAAATTACAATAATTCTGTCCAAACCTCAAAGAGATGAAATTACCTTTCCAGTGCTTTTGTAGCAGCACTCTCGTCCTTAAACACAACATAAGCGTTAATATTTTTCTGATCAGGATGAATTTTACGTCTACACCAAAAACAAAAAAAAAACAAAGAAAAGAAAAAAAAGACAATGTAAAATTTGTTAATCTCAAAGTCACTGAAATAAATATAGCTTGTTTTCCACTCTCAACACATATGACAAGAATTTCTGGGGGGAGTTTCATCTCTTTTAATAAATATTTAGTAGTAACTCAAAAAAATAACACACAACTTACACAGATATGGGCTGATACACGTGACTCAGGCCTCCTTACTAGTCATCACTGTGAGAGACCAGCAAGCGCCCCCGGGCAACCCACCACACTACAACTACTGGGCTGGCCACACAGTTCGTTCGAGTGACACCTTACGGGAAAACTCGAATGAACTTTTTGGCTAACCCAGCATCACCTTAGCTGCAGCTCTGTATCTAAGGCACACACAGATGGGAAAGACAACGTGCTTTTTCCTTTTTACTGTAAAATAAAAACTACACAGACACGTACAGCTTAGGGAATTATTATAGGAACCACTTCCCTGCGTGTCTATGTGGTTTTATCACCCAAGTGTCTACTCCTAGACATACTTTGGTCTTGTCCAGTTTTCAACTTGAAAAGTCTTCTGACTCCTGTTTAAACTGTAGGATTCCCCATTTATCTCTCCATCTTATAGTGTGACCTATAGAATTTCCCTGGAAAAACCTGGCCAGCCAATAGCAACCATGAGGCCCCTCTGATTTGAAGATGCATTTTGATTTTTAAAATGTTAAGGTATGGGAAATGTCACCTTAGAATTGATGAAATATGATACTTGTGATTTACAATAGAATTTTTAGGTGCAAAACTTTCTTATTCTCTTCAAACACTATGCCTGATTAAACGTCCTTGAAATTTCTCATGACACATTTTAAGTTATTTTGCAATTCTTATCCTTGACTCTACAATTTATGTTGAGGCTTGAAGACGAACATCTGACAAATTTATATGTTATTACAGACATAAGAAAACAATAAAACATGATGTTTTATCCAAATACAAACATCTATGAGGTTAAGAAATGATCTCTATTTTAACCAAAATGGAAGAGAATTTATGACTACTCCCTTTCTCTAATTATAAACTTACTTTATTGCTGCCAACTTTTTGGACAAAATTCCCTCTGCTGGAATCTTTTAAGAGAAAAAAAAAAGTATTAAAGAAAAATCATTGTTTAAAATATTATTTCAAAATAATTATATTTTAATTAATTGAATTCTAAATATCTAAGTCTGATATGATGTGATTAAAAACATTCTAAGGAAATAATGAATCAGAAACAACTGTCCTAGTGTTGTATGAACAGGACCTGGTGGCTGAGGACAAACATTTCCAATGATAGTGCCACATTCAGATTTCACAGGCAGTGACTCTCAAACCAGGCAGAAGTTACAAATGACTTGAAGGGATCTCTGGTCGTGAGGGGGCAATGATGTTGAAGACACACGTGAAGAGTGTTAAGGAAAATCGTTTTATAAAATCAGCATGGAAAAAAGGGACACTTCTAAATTAATACCATATATGCTATATGATTTTAAATATATCATTTGATAAATAATATAAGAAGATACTACTTCAGTATCTGTAATTGGACAAATAAGGGAATCTCCTTTATATTCAGAGTCATGTTACTGTCAGTCATATAAGGGTCATACCTAAGAGTGAAGGGGGCAGGTAGGGAAAACTTTACAGAGAGGTGGAAATTCAAGTCAGCAACTGTGACTGTCAGCAATGTGTGCCAAATACCACCAGGTACAGAGAACACAAAGGTAAAAGGATACAGACTGCAAGTTCACAAGTCCAGGGGTGTCTATAAATGCCAACCCCATTTAGGGCAGTTACTATAAATCTCTGGAAGAGTTTTTTCTTTTAGTCTCAATAGTTTATATAGTAAAACTAAGAAACTTGAACTATTTCTTCTCAGTCTGTTCTGCTCAAACTAACATATGGTCAAACTCTCAAAATGTAGACGGGAAAACACATGAGAAATGCCCACGTGAATAACTGACATGGGAATGCTGGTCATCAAAACACATCTATTGGATGCCTTCTAGGAGCTCTCAAGGACCTGTGTTCTGTTATTAAAGATACGAATGAATAAATATAAGGCAATAAAGTACAAAAAGAATATATATACAGTGAAATACTACTCAGCCTTAAAAAAGAAGGAAATCTTGCCATTTGAGACAACATGGATAGATGCTGAGGGTATTATGCTAAGTGAACTAAGTCAACGACAGATGCTGTATGATGTCACTTATATGTGCAATCAAAAAAACACAACAGGGAATTCCCTGGCGGTCCAGTGGTTAGGACTCTGAGCTCTCACCGCCGAGGGCCTGGATTCAATCCCTGGTCGGGGAACTAAGATCCCGCAAGCAGTGCAGCCGAAAACAAACAAAACAAAACTCAGAGATACGGAGAACAGACTGGCGGTTACCAGAGGAGAAAGGGGTTGAAAGTGAGTGAAATGGGTGAAGGGGGTCAACTGCATGGTAAACAAAGACTGAACTGTTATGTTGAACACCTGAAACTAACATAATGTTACATACCAATCTGACATCAATTAAAAAAATAAAAAAATGAACTGAGCAAAAGGACAAGGGTGGGAAAGCCCAAGCACATGATTGGCAACGAGGGCAGCTCCCGGGTTGCAGGACAGTCCCATGTAGAAGAACGCAGGGCCCCAGGGCCACCCTGTGCAGGCTGTCAGGCAAAGAACCAAGGACACTGACAGCGAGAAAAATGAAAAGCTTTTAGGGAACGCCATACATATTTGATGTGCACCAGGTGCAGGTGCTAGTGACCAAGGAGGAGCCACACAAACAGGGTGTTTGTAGTCACAGCTCAGTCTGGTGGGACAGGAGCTCTAACAATGACAGAGCGGTGTCATAAGGACTATAGTGAAGCACAGGGTGCTGCAGGGCGCACAGCAGGGTCACCTGACTTACCAGTAATCCAGGGACAAGGAAGAATCAGGGCAGGCCCCCCGAAGGGAACTCCAGGCCAAGGCAGGGGTGGTGGTGTGTATAATATTCACGGGAGGGGAGGTGGGGGGGAGGAATTCTGGGCAGGAGGTCCAGGAGGAAGTACTTTAGGAAGATTAAGCTGACGGTGGTGCGATGCATGCATCTGAGGCAGACTGAAAGCAGGACCCGTAAAAGGCCTCTGCAACTCTTCTGGCAAGAGCTGTGAACACTAAGGTGGAACAATGGAAAAAGAAAGAACTCCTCTTGGGAAGAAACCACAGCTGAAAAACAGCAGGTGGCATAGGCTGGGGTGGGGGACTGACGGAGGTAAAGCACAGACGCGCTGAAAATGGGCAGGACACCCAAGTGGATGTGTCAGGCAAGGATCTGATATGAGGAAACAGGACTCAGAAGGGCAGACAAAATACACACGTGATAAGCGTGAGGAACAAACACCATGATAGGAATTATGGAGACTGCACCAAAACCTTGGGAAATGTCTCCTTTCAGAGAAGTGGGCGGTTTTGCCCGCTGGGGACATCTGGCAATGTCTGGGAATATATTTGGCTGTTAAACTGGGGTGGGGAGGATGCTACCAGCACCTAGCAGGTGGAGGCCAGGGGTCCTGCATTGCACAAGGCAGCCTCCAACAACTAAGAGCCAACCAGCAGCAAATGTCAATAGTATCAAGGCTGAGAAACCCCATTTTAGACAATCACGTTGAGAAAACGCAGTTGGAAACAAGGAACAAACATCTCCTACACTATACTAATACATATTAATTACATTAAAAAACATATGAGTGATGCTTATTCATGCTCCACGGAACATGGCTATAACTGGTCTACAGAGTGCTCAGCTGGTGAAATCAGATACCATTTATTTCCATAAAGTTTTAACATTAAATTGATTAAAACATACTTTATCTTTCTATGTCAGACCATAAGTACTGCTCTGCAGCGTCATGCAAACCCCTCATATGAACACATATGATTCCAGAAATGCTACTCAACAGGTGTGAACGTTTCCACCTACTCAATTAACACACAAACAAATGTCACCCATCCACCCTCCAAAGTACACTTAGTAAGGACAGCATTTTATATTTGAACTCATTAAATTAGCTAACAAAGTCCAAGAGTCAGCAATCGATACTAGTGTGATTCTTCTTTGGGGCTAGATTTGAGCCTGTCGGTTCTAAAGGTTAAAGTCAAGGGCTCCTCCAACTCACTAAAACCGACATATGAATAAGTTGGATTTAAATGCAAAACATTTTAAGATTATGCAATTTTAAGGGGGCGGAACACATACCAGAGAACGAAATCGTACAGATTCTATCTGTCCGTACTCTTTAAAAAATGACTTCAGCTTCTAAAATAAAAAAAAACATATATATATACACACTCATATATATATATATATTTCAGTCCACTTTCAGAACATCAAATAAATACCACAAAAAGGAATTAAGTAAAACGGTCTGATAATCTTTTACTGCCATGTTTTCAGAATATTTCAGGAAAAGTAGGTAACTATTCAGTTAGAAGACAAAAAACTTTTACTGAAACTTATATAAAAAGAAAACACAATTCAAGTTCATGTTAGTATCTATAAGGCACACAACACTTTTTCTTTCAATCTTTTATAATCTTTACTACAGGTAAACTAAGATTATATATTCCATAAATTCTCTCATCTTTTCACCCTGGCTTATTTAAACCAGAAATGGATTTTAAGGATCCTTTATGTCACCATGGGAAATTCCCCAACTGTCTGGAATTAAGACCATCAGATTGAAGAAAAGTCTTAGGATGAATTTTATACATTATTCTTATGACTGGCTCAGGATGTGAAGAAGGTATATGTTTTACAGCTTGCACAATAATTTCTATAAGCAATTTTAATCCAAAAATAACTTATTAAATGTGTAAAGCACCACAAACACTCCCTTCCCTTGAGGAAGGTAAGTAACCAAAACTACCCTAGAAAGTCAAATGGGTTACGTTCTACAAAATAATCACACATCAAATGCTAGGGGACAAAAGGGCAAGGGGGAAAGGGAAAAACCAGGAAGTAACTTTCTAGTACTGTTTTGTTTTTAAGAAAGTGGAATTGAAACTGTTCTTCAAAAGATAAGCAGGATTTTACCCGAAGGGATTGCCACCAGGGTGACTATCACATAAACACACAGAGAGTAAAGGGCATGTCTTGGTTTCGTGAACCCCACATAACGGAAGAAACTTAGGCTGTATGCATTCATGTACACGACAAACATTCAACAAGCCTCTACTACACACCAGGCGCTGTTTCAAGTGCTAAGGGACAGAGCAGTGAAGAAAAGAGATAAACATCCCTGCACATATGGCGCTTCCGTTCTAGTGGCATATAAGAGAAGATAGAGCTGGAGGAAAAAACCAGATAGGAGACCACTGCAATATTTCAGACAAGACTTGCAAAAGCCTGAATTAGGGCAGTGACTTCGGGAATGGAAAGGAGCAGGTGGATACTGGAATCAATCTATAGAATGATATATGTAGTCATTTATAATGAAGTTATATATTAATGATTTATTTAATAAAGTGACAGTAAACAAAATCACGAATTATTAATTTCTCTGCATGTTAACAATATACAGACTACACACTCACCTTCTTATTACAGGTAACAGGCAAATTCCCAACAAACACAGTTCTCTCATTCTTTAATCTCTCTTCTTGGTTGGTTTGAATTTTCTTTCTTTGATTTACAGCTGTGTGATCTACATCATCAAGTACTTCTTTATCGGCAATTTTAACACCAGATTGAGAATTTTTCCTTTTCTTCCCTTGTTTCTGGTGAATTTCTTCTTCTAAATCAGCAATTGCTAAAGCATTTTCTCTTTTTAAGTCAAAAAAAAAAAATTCATAGAAGTCAGGTCTCGTATTTGACAAAGCACATTGATTAGAAAAATTTCCCATCTACTTCTGGTCCTCCTATATATCAACTTACCATTCACAAATACATCTACATTTAAACAGCATTATCAAAAAGTGACGGGTATCTTTAGGAAACTCAAGAGTTAGAAAAAGTTAAGGTCAATTTCTGAAGATCGGTTAAAATTGCCAGGTAATAAACAGAGCAACAAAAGTTCACGTAAACAGAAGCTGGCTCACGTAAAGCTTTGGGGATTTAGTTGACGCTCTACCAATGCCTAATTCCATTCTCTGCTCTAGAATTCCAGGGTTACCGCAGCACTCCCTGGGGGTCTATGAAGGTTAATATGCCGGCAAACTACTTAGCTTTGTAAAAGCAATCTGGCGAAGAGGAGAAATCAGATTTCCTACTGCAGTATTTCAAGGACTGCTTGTCAAAAGCAAATTCCCCCAATATTGTGAAGTACTGGTGCACTTGGGTAAAGAGAAAATGGAAATGGTCCAAAAAGAGAAATGGAACAGGAACTTAGGAGTGAGGGGAGAGAATGGGTAGTAGGAGTCATAAAACTCATTCATTCATTCATTCAATAAATATTTACTACTCAGTTCTAGCCTCTGGGGATACAAAGATAAAAGAGACTATTAGAGGCCTTTCAGTAGTCCAGTCTCTGGAGCAATAGGCAAGGTTCACCATAAAATGGTTAACGTGTATAATACATGGTGTAGAAACATAAAAGAAACAAGAAAGGCTCTCAGAGGAGGAAAGGCAGTGTATAGCACATGGTCAGTCCTCAGTAAATGTTGACCGTTTCATCCCTCCACTAGACCACAAGCTCCAGTAAGGAGAGGGTCAATGTCTAGTTTTTTGTTCACTATGGTATATAAAATACCTAGTAGGAGTGAAAGGAAATGAGACAGTATGTCAAGGAGGACCATGCCTGTTATGCAAAAGTGCTTAGATTTTTATCCCACAGAGGATGGGGAACCCCTGAAGACTTTGAAAGTGCCTAAAAGAGATCATTTGGGCAGCAGAGCAGAAGACAATTATGAAAGGGACAAGGCTGGATAAGGGAGACCAGTAAGGAGACAGTTACAACTGCAGGCATCTCAGAAGACAACAGACCCACCAGAGCAAGGGAGAAGGTGGAAACGGGAAGCAGATTAAAAGAGATAATTAAAAGACAGCATCGTTAGGACTTGGCAACTGACTAGATATGCAGGGAAAAGAAAGAGTCTAAGTTGACTCCCAAGTCACAGGCTCGGGCAACAGGAAGGCTGATGGTACCACTCATGCAGAGGAACAGGTTTGATGAGGATAATATGCTCGGTTTGAAGCATCCTGAATTTGAGGTGTATATGAATATAGAGCTAGAGATGCCAGTAGACAAACAGATATACAGGTTTATAGATCAAGAAAGAGCGATGAGAATTGTGGAGCCACGAGGACCGGGAGATTGCCCAGAATGAAGGGTGTGAAAAAGGTCATAAGAAGATGACCAAGAACAGAATCCCGAGGGAAATCAACATTTAAGGAACAGTCAGAAGGAAAGTGCCCACAATACCACTGAGAAGGAGCAGAAAGACAAGAGGAGGAAGAGAAGAGACTGCTATCAAAGACTCCAACAGCTTCGAGAAGGAAAGCAACCACGTGACATGTAAAAGCAAGGACTCAGACAAAGGCTGTACTGCCTACTAAATATGGGACCTACCTAGGTCAGGATGGCTTCCCTGAGCACTGTTTCAGAAGTATGGTCATATCACATAAAAACGAACACAACAAACAAACAACCAGAGTGCAAGTTCATGGAAAAGAAAACAGATCAAGAAAAGGAAGAGAGCGCAAGTATAAACATCTTTTTCTAAAAGCTTGGCAATGAAGGGAAGGTTTGAGGGGATGGAGCGAACAGGGACACATGACTGCAGATGGGGTTTTGCTGGATGTCTTTTTTTAAGATGAGAATCTTGAGAGAACAGATCAAAGATACAGATAGATATATATATATCTCTGATGACATAAACCCTAAGGAGGCAGAAGAGGTATGTGCTATATATAAACAGCACAGGTGACTGAATTAATCTTGGACGAGGAGGAAGACACCCTTCTCTGAAAGGGGAAGAAATTAAAGATGTGCATAGTTACAAGCAGTAGGAGAACCAGAAGTAGTAGCTCACAACTGTTAGCAATTAAAAAAAATAACTCTCAGAGGAATTCCCTGGCGGTCCAGTGGTTAGGATTTCAGGCTTTCACTGCTGGGGGCCCAGGTTCAATCCCTGGTCAGGGAACTAAGATCCCGCAAGCTCCCTGGGGCAGCCCCCGCCCAAAAAATTATCAGATTAGGTAACAAGATCACCTGCCAAGAGAGAACTGAGAGATAAAGGGCATGAAGAGAGTGGCCTGACAGGCTGAGGAAAGTTAATGAGGAACCTATAATGGTACTGCTATATGGATCTCAATTCAAATAAACTGTTTTTTTAAAAAAATTAAACTAATGGGGGAAATTTGATCTCTGACTGAATAAGTTTAAGAAAAGCAAACTCATCTTTTCCATACGTGCTGAAATATTTATAGATGAAACCTAAGTCTTAGGTTTGCTTCCAAATAATGAGGGGGAAATGAATAGGGTAAAGATGAAACAAGATTTGCCAAATATTAATAACTGCTGATGCTGGGTACTTGGGGTTCCTTATCCTTTTCAACTTTTGAAAATGTATGGGACTTTCCATAATAAAAATTTTTAAATTATAACTATGAAGTGAGAAAAGAAATTAAGATGAACATTGCTGGTATAAGAATGTCAATTTCTTTACCATCTAATTTCTTTAACATCAACTAGGAGAGAAATTTTACCGACCTGTTTGCCAACTTTCGGTCTGCATCAGACAGTTTCTTCTTCAGTTTCATTTTTTTGGCAGGTTCTTGCAAAAACGGTCTTTGGATTTGGGATGAATTTTCTTCCTCCTCATCCCGTTTCCTTTTTTTGGTGGTTTCCTTTTAAAAGTTTGAAGTTATGTTTCAGACCTCATCCTTCTTAATAATTTAGTGGTCTTTCTAAAGTAGCATCTTTTCTCTCTCACTGATATGTCCAGTAATGAAAGGTTACTTAAAATTGATCCTTATCTGCCCCACTTTAGAAAGCATGCCCTGCAAGGTAGGTTGCTTGCTTCTAAAGTTGTTCTAATGGGCCATTCGGGGTATAACGCAGTGACTTACTTCAGGAACAGGCACATACACGGGTTGAAGCTGAGGCTCCAAAGAGCCGAAGAGGGAAGCCAGCCGACCCGTGCTGCCTCTGGAGGGCCGCTTGCCGTTGAATAAACTACTGGCGACTTGTCCAACCTCATAGTCTCCTGCCAGATTCCCACAAGCGCCGTCCTCCGGGTTCTCTCTAGACACAGACATCAGAGACTCAGGGACACGACGCCACGCCCCACCCCTAGCGCCCCGAGGTCCCGAACGCATACTCCGGCCCAGGCAGACGAGCCACGCGCCACTCACCCCTCCCGCGCACTCCTCTTTTTCTTCCGTTTGTTCTTCTCTTCCAGGGCCATTCTTATCCGAGACCTCCGAGAGGGCGGGAGCACGTGAGCCCGCACTTCCGGGTCCCGGCCACTCCGTTCTCGGAGCCACGCCCCTTCCGCCCCGAGAGTCTCTGCGGACGCCCTGGGGGCGGAGACGGCGGGCATGGGGGCGGAGACAGCGGGCGAAGGAGTCGGGTCCAGGCTTCCGGACCAGTTTGTACCTCTGTCTGAGACCTAGTCTTGGGAGGGAAGTTTTCCGAGGGTAGTTGAGGCCTTAAGTGCGAATAAGAATCAGCCAGGCTGGTACTGGGGTGTCAGTCCAAGCAAAGGGAAAACACTTAGGAAAACCCCTGAGTTGTCGAAGAGGAAGGAGGGAGGTTTGTCGGGAAATTAAGTTACAGGGATGTATGTCACACGGTATTAACAACTGGTGAATCGGTTGAAGGATACATGGGACTCCCTTTGTACTGCTCTTGCAACTTTTCTGAAATTTGACATTATTTTAAAATAAAGTTAAAAACAAATAGAGACCACCGCTCTAAGCTGCTCTGCTCTATTCTACCAAGAAAAGGGGCTCTCGGCTCTCAAAACTATGCTGTCTTCTTGGCCTACCTTCCCAAAGTCCGCTTTTTTCCACCACCTCTTTATTCCTTCACCTTTTGTCATTCCTTCTTATTCTTGTTATTCCTTCCCCCACAATCGCCCCCCTCTTTACCCCTCATTTTCACCTGCAAAATTGTACCCATCCTTCAAGGCCCAGCCCACTTAGGACAATTTCCCAGCTATTTACAGTAGAGATATAACAGTCTCTCTAAATGTAAATGGTTCTTATTCAGCCTGTGCTCTGTATCCCCATTCACCGTACCTAGTAAATATGTGGTAAATTGACATTTAAGCAATAAAAAATATTAGATTATCATTAGATAAATCACTGAATCAGTAGTTTTGGTGGTAAAATCAAACTTGACTTTGAATCTATGGGAACAGATTTGCTAATTTTGGAGAGCTGCTTAATAGAAGTCACTGGGAATATATGCGATCTTTTTTACAGTCCACATCAGATAATGTGATGGAAAAACAATATTCAACTGCTTGGCACTGGTTTTGATTTGAGTCCCTTATTTTGGCATGTGGTATCACACAAAGATGAGAAAAACTCAACTGTCCATATTTGCAACTCTAGCATCTCCATCTATCCTATACCATCCAATGAAGACATTCTACTCATTTTTCTATCAGCATGTCTTCCAATCAGATTCCTTCTTCACTCTCCCTAGCATATTCCAAGAATCACTTCCTCTCTGGAACACCGCAATGTCATTGAATCTGGCCTTTCTCCACTCTAGACTACCTACACATTCCATTTCCAGATGAATCTCCGTTAAATGCTAAGGTTTGCCATCTCCTCTATGTCACCATCACATCAGTCATCACATTCCTTGCGTGCTCATACACTGCCCTCTTTAAACTCTAATGCCCATACAATTTAGTGCTTAATTTTATGATCTCTTATATATCTATTACTTCCACAACTAAACCATGAACTATTCCTCCGGGGAATTTACATCTTATACATACAAAACCCATCATATGACGTTAGACAAAAATCCGTAAATAGCAGGTTAAAATTAGACGAAAGGTGAAGAAATGGACTCACAAAGAATGAAAGGCAGCACACACTTCTAGAGGAAAAGGTGATAAGTATGAAAGAGACTGTGGTTGGAGATAGTTAAAAAATGATTCCCACTGTTCTTAAGAACTGCTTTCCAACCATTTAGAGATCACTAACCCCTTTGAAGAGTTTCTTAAACTTATTGGGGCTCTTTTCATTAAAAAAAATACAAATACATTTTGTAAAAAATGTTAGGGGTTTCTGGAATCTGGTCCACCATCCCCAACCTTCCCAGGTTATTAAAATTAACAAGACCTCACCCTCAGGTTATTTCAGTAGGAATAAAGAAAAGGTTTTGGAGAACACTGTAAAAAAATGTACCATCTTAATTTTATCAGAGATTGTAAACTAGTTTGATAAAATGTTGTTTAGGGGACCAGGGAAAGACTTAAGTTAAATTCTAGTAATGCCATGAAATTCTCAAACTCTCAGGAGAAGCTGGGAGGAAGCGAGAAATAGGCAGAAAAGCCCAAGGGTATAAACCTCAACTCCAACAAAGTTTGGAATCACTCTCCTTTAGAGCACTGTTTCTGTAACCCAACAAGTAGGTGATATTGCGAGTTCCTTGAAAAAAAGGGTTTCATGATCAGGTAAGTCTAAAATCAGTAAGTTAAATGAAAAAACTTCCTTAAAAAAACTTCTTAAAGTTTTTAACATGCGAACACTGAAACTCTAAGAAGGGGATGTGCTATATATAGCATTTCCAAAATATGTTTGGTAATAAATTCCCAGAGCATTTCCAGGGAGCAGTATTCTAGGACCTCATTTTGAGAAGCACTGTTCTATAGATTTTAAAACTCATCCTTTAAACGTTAAACTGATTTCTGTGAAAATGAAGGGTCGTCACAAAGGTGCATCAAAAATACACATTTGGGCTTTTTAGGCCTTAAAAAAGTTTCCTTTTTGTTTTAAAGAACAAATTTTCTCTTGGTGGGAAGTTCATTAAATTGGGCAGAAAACCTAATTATTGATTTTAAAGGTTTGGAGTGATGCAGTGGTTCTCAACCCAGATGAGTATTATAATCACTGGCCACCTTTAAAAAAAGACCAGCATCCAGGTACCATCCCAGATCAATTAAATATGACTGAGGGTGGGGCTGGAGTATTGATGAGTGTTTTAACAATACCCAGATGATTCCGAAGTGCAATGGCGTAGATAGAGTGCACTGAAAGTGTAAGAGAGCCACAAAGGTCCAATTACATTAAAAGACCAAAAATAAAAATCAAAAAAGAGAAAAGAAAAGGGAAAAAAAAAGCCGCTAGTAATGGTTTCAAGCATTAAAGAAAAAAAATCTTGGTTTTCTTCTTTAGACAAACCTCCAAGTCAGAAGTATTCATCCTCAGACTCAAGCTAGTATGCAAAGATATAAGAATGCTTAACAAATCCTGTACATAAATCTGGTTAATGGACTTTTAATTCCTATAGGCAGAATATTCCCTTTTTTGGATGTCAATTTTACCCTTTCTGATAATACATGCTGGAGATACGTGTTTCAGTCAGGCATCAGAGACAGAAATGAACTAAAATTACTTAATCTTTTAGAAACAAAATCAAGGATTCACAAACTATGGCATTTTATTTCAGAGCCTTTGCTTACATTTGTACAATATATTACATAATTCTTCATTGTTTGCAGATCCTAATATATACTTTATAGCTTTTATTCTATAAGCTTTTCTTCAATGTTTTGCTGTCAACAAATCTTTACAGTCCTGTACAAATCTGAATAACTTGAAACCATTTTCAACAAAATTAGTTACTGTAAGCACACACTGCAAGACTGAAAATGCTTTTCTTAGAAAAGTTGAATGTAAAGGATTCTGACACGTTAGCATCTACAACAAAACGCTTTGAAATTCTCACGTCGTATTGCCAGAAAACAAATAAAACATGCCAGCCCCGTCCAAAAAAAGTACACAGAACTACAATTAAAACAGTAAAACAGTCTGTACAGTAAAGTACTGTGTATTAACAGTGCCAGGTATTAAATAGCTTGAATGAACACATCCGCAATATACAAACGTCTTACAAAGGTGTAGAATTAAATACAAGTGCCAAACAGAACAGAGATTGGAACCATACAACGTAAAGTCAATACAGGTGAAAACAATTTTGCGTTCATTTTGGATTTTATACAAGGCATTTAATTTTTATAGGCCTACCACCCCGATTAGCTATTTATACTTAAAATAACAGCCATCCTTTTGAGACAGTTCATAGCAACAGCCTTGAACCATACCGATAAAGTTTACTTGTTCCTGAAGTCCTCTTGTTGTAGCTCATAATAAAATAAGCAATACAAATGAATTATCTGTATTTAAGGAAAAAGAAACATTTACAAGAAAACACAAAAATATAACTGTTATAATTCATTATGAATAAATATACACTTTGAACTGGCTAAGTACAATCTTTACACATTGTTTAAGATTTAATACAGTTTATTAGCCATTTTCTTTTTTCACACAATGTATTATATCAAAATTAAAAAAAAATACTGATTTATAGAAAAATGGCAAAGTACAGTAGTTCCATTCCAATTTGAAGGGGCGTGAAAAGCCACTGCAAGACCTTTTAGCCTAATTCAAACCTGTAAACATGTTCAGTCTTTTTTAAAGAGAATCTTTAATATTTGGTTATCAGGATTGATGTCTAATATCCTGTTAACTGCAGGTTCTGAATTTATTACATGTGCTTGAGTTATACAATTAAAGCCACCCTAAGGTGACTTGCTTTAAAAAACAATTAGCTTGTACAAATGAAAATAGGTTCATATTTTTTCATAAATAAATGGAAAAATATCAAATGTTCCAGCTTTAACAAAATACAAGGGAATACATATACAGTAAGTTATCTTAACATGTTGTGGCCGCCCAATGACTACGCTTACTGTATTGTCTCTACAGGCAGTGAAAAGCCTCCATTTGCCACAGTGGAAGGCCTTCAAGTTACCAGACACACAATTCCCAGACAAGTTGGAAACAATTATTGCTTGAGGAAAAGCAGTTCATTGTACTTTTTCTTCATAAAAAAAGTGCACTTAAGTGCCAAGTCAGCTTGTCAAGAAACAATTTTTAAATATAAAATAGTGCTTGTCTGATTTTTTATTTTTTGTGCCACTGTGCAGTATAAAAAAAGACGTGGCTCTCAACAGCCATTAAGTGCAAAGTGCTTTAGCAAGTCCTGCTGTCACCTGCACTCAACTGACATTCCATTCTGTGACGTGCTGGACATTGATGGTTCAGCTAATGTTAACATAACAGCAGCCGTTATGGAGCTGGACGAAGGTGAAGACGATGACGAGGATGTAGCAGCACCTAAGGCGAAGGGAAACCAACAGCTTAATAACACGCATATACAACAGTAGAAGGAAGTAAAGCACTTGTCCTCTTAACTAAAATTCTGCTGTGTTCTCCAAAATCATTTAGCTTACCGCGAGAGCAGTCAATTCTTAC